CCACAGCTCCTATCCTAACCCTAACCCGTACCTCTACCCCCCACAGCTCCTATCCTAACCCTAACCCGTACCTCTACCCCCCCACAGCTCCTTCTGTAGTCCCTCTACCTCTATCTCTATCTCACCACTGACTCTGATCAGTGTTTCTCCTCTATATAGCTTATAGTCATAGTGATGAGAAATGTAATATTGTGTCTACTCTGTAAGTCGCTTTGGATAAAACAACATAAACATAAACACCAGGGGGAGCCATTACACAGGGTAGCAGGTCAAGTCCAATGCTTCACTGTGTATAAAAACGCTCATCTGAGAGCTCATCAGCTCCTCTAATAGGGATGGAACGGTTTCTGAAAACTGTCCGAACCGTTCGGTTCGACTGTCTCGGTTCGATTTTTGTATTTATTTATTTAATCAGGACAGTGCACATTAATGAACAATCTCATACAGATTGTAAATGAGCCAGATTCTACCATAGTTGCTAATTTGCATCTGTCGTCCTGAGGCAGGAAGACCAAACAACACAAAATCACATAATACAATATCAGGTAAAAATAGAGAGACACACGTTCAGACAATGACATTAAAAAAAAAAAAATGTTTTTTTTCTCAGAGGGAAGCGTTTACACTCCAGAGCAGAAGGTGGCGCTACTGCGCCCAAAGCCAACCACCAGTAGTAAACAAGAAGAAGAAGGGAAGCAGCGTAGCCCATAAAAATCAGCGAGCCAACAGCAGTTTCTAGGTCTGCTGTATGGACCAGTTTGCATTTAGAGGGAAGCACATGTTGGAATTAGCACTGTTTCCTCTCTTGCAATGCCAGAATCTCACCTACTTTTAACCTCAGACTGTCACAATAATGGATCAAATGTCAGACTGATTTTTTCTTTCAGTTTTAACCTGACTATACAAGACATAATAGATTTTCCTAACAATCAACACATACCGAACCGAACCGAAAACCGTGACCACGAAACCGTGAATCGAACCGAACCGTGGATTTTGTGAACCGTCCCACCCCCATCCTCTAATGACACAAATTCAGGTAAAACAACAAAAACAAAAGGAGTGTTTTAGGGGGGGGAACCTGTACCTGGAGCTCTAGGCAGTGTTTCTGCTTTTCAGAGATCTGTCTGCGAAGTGCCTGCTTCTCCTTCAGCAAACTCTCCAGGCACAGGGATCCCCAGTCCAGTTTCAGCTCCTCACATCGGGACTTGAGCTGAAAAAAACAGCAGAGATATTCTCCCATCATCCTCTGGAAACACGGAAAAAGGCAACAAACATTTCAACGGGCCCGGCCTGCCGCTTTAATCAGCACGCGAAGCCCAAACAGAGGTAA